ACGAGGAGGAGGAGGATGAAAAATAGAACGTAAGGCCGGGAATGTGCATCTCTTGCGCCAGCATGCGAAAGACCTGCTTGATCACGCTATTTTATTTTGCTGTCTGAACGCTGAGCCCGGGGCCTCATCTGGGGTGCTGGGGAATAAATGCCTTAGTGAGGAGAAAGCTCGAATTTTTAACAAGGATATATGTTTGGAAGGTCGAGCAATTATGCACTTAGAGCACAGTGTCATAGGACGTCCGTCCGGTTAACAGTATGCACTGGGTCCTCAATACTAATGTATTGTACCCACCTACTGAAAAAGTTTAAGTGGGCTGGATTTTCCACAATCTTCCACTGCTTAGCACGCCGACCGTTGGTCCAGTAGGGACTGGATGGTGATGATATTGAACTATAGTATTTCTGCATCTGAAAGTGCAATCTTTGTGTTCAAAGCAACGCGCGTGCATGTGATAACCATCTTTATTTGCAGATGCCGTAGATGGGTGTTAGTGTGGGGACGAGCGATTGGCTTCTTTTCTGAACTCATTCCCAGGAAGCTGTGCTATGCAAAACACTAATTATCCTTGGATAACTGCCACTGGTTTGAAAGGAGAGGCAGAAGTAACCGTTGCTAAGTGTCGTCCTAACCGATTTGCCCCTGTCGATCTCCCTCATACACTCATATTGACTTTCAGGTCATGTACAGAAACTCTGTCAGATAAGTCACGAATGGAGTCGAAATATTAGCGTATGAGTGGATAAAATCGTACCGGTTGGAAGTGTGTGTGTTTGTAGCGGGGCAGTATGCCGGCTGCAAACTTTCGCGTCGGTACAGGCAGTCACACTGATGTTGTAAACGGAGTTTGGTTGCAGGTTCTTGACAGTACAGGACATCTCTGCACTGTAAACTTGCGTGGTACACATTTGTATTTCTTCCATAGAACTTGCTTCCGGCATTGCCATTACTGTGTACGTAAAGCGGTACGTGGAGCCATTTCCAGGTTTCTTCCAGGAGACTTTGATGCCGGTCGAGTTCACATCACCGATGTTGACTGCTTCTGGAGCTGTGCGTGGAAAATATAGTTTTCGTGATAATGTTTACTTAAGCAAAATAAGTAAGCATATTGACTAATTTGAAAATAGGCATCCCGAGAAATATAATTTGATAAAGAAATTCTTCGG